AGAGCCCTATATTTAGAACACCAAATTAGAAGATTAGTTCAGCACTACCACTGAACCTAACATAGGCAGCCGCTTGGTATATTTATATATATAAAATAATTTTCTTGAATTGGATTTAGTGGATTTGCTGTTGAATTAGAAGTCTAATAGCTCACAAAAAAAATAAAATAATAACATAATCTTAACTGCTCTAATATGACCCTTTTTCAAATATAAATATTTGCCTAAGCCTGTCATATTTGTGTAAACCATAAGTTCTGTCAAATAACAACAGAAAGTGATGATAAAACAGTGTAAAAAATAATTCAGCTACATTAATTGTTTTTCTCCAATGCTTTCCTACAATGTGATATTGATAACTTTATATGGCTTCCATGTCACTCTCAATTATTTATAAAGAATTCAAAATATTCATATTAACTATTTTCATTTGAATTAGAGTAACGATACATCAATATATATTCATTCATTTGATGTTGTATACTTGTGTGTACTGAAAAAAAAAAAGGTCCAAATCTCATGTGAGCCAATCCATGTCAATTGATATAAAAATATTGTAAGAAAATAATATAATTCTTTTTTTTTTTTTCCAAATAAAACAGTATAGCTGAATCATTACTTAAACATTATATATCACAGCACGGTATTGTTTGATTCTTTTGCATGCTTTCCTTATCTTAATTCTTAACCACTAATAGATTTAGTTGTCAGAAAAAATGAATAAGAAGAGGATTACCAGAGCCGACATCTAAACCACCCCATAATTGATGAATACTTAAAAAATATGATAAGAAATGAAGAAATTTAATAGCACACAAGGTTCACTGTTGATTCTGTATTGCAGCACTTAAGCAAGTAAATCAATAAATTTACCTTGTATTCAGGAACAACAGCGTAATGTGAAGAGATGAGAAGAGTTTTTTGAGACTTCGAATTGGCAAGTTTAAGATGCCATAATAAGAAATATAAATATAAGTAAGCAGTTGTGGATGTAAAAAATTCAATAAAAGATGCATGATTATCATATTGAAATACATTGGAGTTTTAAAGATTGTGCTAATACCCAGGCAGCTATGTAATCATAGACTCAATTAGCCCTCAATCTGAAATAAAAATTGCCAACCAAATGAATATGCTAGGAGAATTTAGCTTCCAATGACTACACACATGCTATTTATTATCAATGTGCAATGATTGATAATTGTTTCTACATAGAAAATAGACTGAAGATTGATTCAAACTTTTCAAACACCTAAAGATCCCATTCAAATGAACCCACAAGTTTTAACCCCTAACATGTTTGTGAATTGAGGAAAATAGTCCACCACAAACATAAGATATACTTGCAATCTAGATATTGGTTACGATAGTGAAGCCGGTTCAAGCACACAACTACAAGAAATGAATGCATTTAACAATTGTAACCAAAGTTTCAAGAAATGCTTGTTATAGAGGCAATAAATGCAAAGCGTGTCACAGCAAAGCATGTTACCGATTGTCTCCTTTATCATGATTTGCAGGTCGTTGAAACACCTCACTCCATCATAGTTACCTTCATTATGCTTGTTAGTACTACGGACAACTTTGCCAATGACACTCTATCCCAGCTAATAACAGACCAAAAGTTACCTAACCACCTATCAAAAGAATTGGATGAGAAAGGGATGAATTAGTTGAGAGTAATAAAGAACAAAATCTCAGAAAATTAGGAAGCAAAGGGTTTTTGATCGAAGATTACCTTCACTTATCCAGCTCTGAATCTTAAATGGCCAAAACATCACAAACATTTAGTAACAAAAAAGGTAGACAATTAAAAGTATAATGAAGAAGGACCTATTTCATCACTGTTAATTGAAAATAATATAGTGATACAAGATTATTAGACTAGACAAAAGAAATTTACCCAAAATTTGGATATTCAAAAACAGACAAAATTTGGATATGAATGCAAGATTCTAATTTATATTATTAGGAATTTAGTCATCCTAATTAAGTTGAAATAAACAAAAAAAAATAGTGTTAATAACGATTTTTTCCCGAATATGATTGATAAATGTAATTTTCTTCTCAACAACGATAGAAATGCAATTACAACAAGCAGCTAAATAACTAAAACATCTTTTATTACGAAGGAAGTTTAGTGGGTTACAAATTAAAAATTCTCCACAACAACTTAAGAAAAACACACGGATTAAG